ACAGTTCACCAAGTTCAATGAAAAAGCTATGCACGCTTCGTACCTGATAAGTTTACGAATCGCAAAAGCTGGCAAACCACATACTATCGGAGAGAATTTAGTATTGCCAGCAATAAAAGATACAGTTGGAGTAATGTTTGGTGACAAGTTCTCAAAAGACGTCGAAATGATACCACTATCAAATGATACAGTTACACGTAGAATTAATGACATGTCTCAATGGACAGAAAGTCGGCTGATTGAAAGAGTCAGTAAAAGTAGATTTTTCTCACTACAACTAGATGAATTTACCGATGTTCAAGGTTTATGTCAGCTGCTTGTATTCATTCGTTATATATGGAACAACGGACCACATGAAGATATGTTATTTTGTGAACCAATTATACGTGGTACTAGTGAGGAAATATTCAATACCCTCAATACTTATATCAATAAAAAAGGTCTTGATTGGGTAAAATGTATCGGATTATGTACAGACGGTGCTAGAGCTATGTGTGGTAAAAATAGTAGTGTTGTAACTCGAATGCTTGAAGTTAGTCCGAATGCATCATGGACTCACTGCAACATTCACAGGGAAGTTTTAGTATCGAAAAATCTTCCGGATAACTTGAAAATCGTGTTGAACACTTCTGTGAAAATAGTCAATTTCATTAAGACAAGGCCATTGCAATCACGATTATTTGAAAGGTTGTGTGAAGAGATGGGAAGTTCTCATAAATCTCTTCTTTTGCACACTGATGTACGTTGGNTTATAAATCTCTTCTTTTGCACACTGTTGTACGTTGGCTTTCAAGAGGAAAAGTACTAACAAGACTTGTGGAACTCCGTGAAGAAGTTGCACTGTTTCTTAAAGAAAAAACTGATCTGGCAAAATCGTTACACAATGAAGATTTCATTTTGAAGCTCACGTATTTAGCCGACATATTTTCGAAACTGAACGAACTAAATTTATATTTACAAGGAACAGAAAGAGCCGATATATTTGCGGTCCATGAAAAAATTAGAGGTTTCATAAAAAAACTTACATTATGGCAAAATAACATTGAAAAGCAAAATTATGATTGTTTTGAAACATTTCAAACTTTCATAACCGAAAATAATATAAAAGTTCCCGATGACATAATTAACCAAATCACTTTGCATTTAATTTCATTGAAAGATAACTTTAAATTATACTTCTTTGAAGAAATAGAAAAATACCAAAAAAAAAACTGGGTTGTGAATCCGTTTCAGGACGCCACACTCACAGGAATCTCAACAAAAGCTGAAGAAGAACTCATTGATTTGTCTGAAGATGCATCATTAAAACTTAAATATAGCCGCAATAATTTGATTAAGTTTTGGCTGTCAGCTCAACAAACTTACCTAACTCTTTCAACTGAGACTTTAAAGGTATTACTACCTTTTTCATCTTCATACTTGTGCGAAGTTGGATTTTCGGCAATGGTGGGAATAAAAAACAAACTCAGAAATAAACTCCAACTATCGCACTCCTTGCGTTTAAAAATAACTACAATTGAAGTCGATGTTGGTGCTGTTATCAAAGATTGCAGGAAACAAGCGCATCCATCACATTCGCCTAATTATTAATTAAGTATTATAATTATTATAAATTTATTATATATTAGTATTATTATTATTTTTTTTTATTATAAAGAAGTAGTTATTTTATAGTTAATAAAATAGAAAAAATTTGTTTATTGAAATTACTTTTTTGATTTTGTTAATGTAAAACTAAGGGGGTCGCGATCGATTTTCGGAAAAAAATTTGGGTCGTGGTCCTAAAAAGATTGAGAACCACTGCTCTACGCTATAAATTGCGTATCCGCGGTTCACAATCGGCGATTAAATAAAGCTGTTGTCTATTCTAGCACTTCTTAGTAGTTATTATCTACACGGACGGCTACGCGATCTTTAATAATAGTTGTAACAATATTATCATTATGTTATGTTATGTTTCAATAATCATTGATGTAAATCGTGACAATCAAAGACAAAATACTGAGAACTGGAAGTCGCCTGTATTCACTGGGTAAAACCGTAAATACAGCAGATATTGACCCAAATTACACGATAACAAGTAATTTTACTCCAATCACTTTTTCTGAGAATTTAAATATGTATATACACATCTTATATTATCATTTAGTTAATATAACGGCTCCCATGCTACCAATATCACTAACAACACTGACCGACAGCACCGACTATATTACGCGAAACATTTTGTGTAACTTCAATACTAGAAATTTTTCTACACATCAGTTTTTTCAGATTTTTTTTTCTTGGACGGGTTAGACGGGCTCTGTACGGGCAAGGAGGTCGCTTGTACGGGCTACGGGCCTGTTAAAAACAATAGAAAAAACACTTCATTAGACGAACAGTTTCAAAAATATAAAAAACTTAACGAAAACTACAATTGGTTTATTAATAATCGACAGCTCCACTCATGTCGAGACTACAACTCTATATCATTAAATGACACCAAAACTATGTCTAAATTACATTAAGCACTGAACAAAGTAATAAACAGTGGCCCTGATAATATTCTAGGAAATTTTGTAAAACATCTTCTCATAAAAGGACTAGAGATGATACTAACGCAATTCAATAAGATAAACAATAGTTTTGTTAAAAAACAGAAAGAAAACAGTAATTCAACACCAAAACCAAATAACTATGAACACACACAACTGATGTATACCGTCCTATTTTCATTATTATGCGCAATCAGCAAAAATTAGAAAACATTATAAATACCTTCTAATATGGTACTGAGAAAAAAAACCTTAGAAGAAGAATAATTAGAATTTAGGGGAAAAAAGTGCTCCTTTTCTTCTTTCAAAATCCCATTGCGTAGCAATAGTTATGGCTATTTCGCAAGATTTTTTTACAGCTCAATACATGAATATTTATGATTATAAAGCATTTATTACTATCCGAATTTCGGAGCAATTTTTATTTGCTTTCATAATAAATATTTTAATACTAAAATACACTATTAATTTAATAAATTTAATGTAAAAGTTCACTTTTTAAATTCTTCCACAATAAACAAATTTGTTATAGTTTAAACATAGTAAATAAAATGAGTGTTATCAATTACTCATCATTTCGTAAAAAATTGTCGGGTATCACTGATTTTACATTCTTCAGTATAGAAGATTTTCTCTTTTTAAAAAATTAGTATAAAAGAAGGGTTTTTGTATGATAGTTTCTGTGAATACTTTAATAAATAATAATTCCTTAACTCCTTAAGAATTGTTTATTGTCAATTTTTAAGTTAAAAAATCCTTCAAATTACTTTTAATTAAAATTTTTTTTTAACAGACAAATTGTTTTATTGATTACAGTCATGAAAAAAAAACATGATAAAAAACATTGTTTTTGAATACAATATCTGAAATATTATGATAAATTTCTACTTTTGATGTTATGAAGTCACATTTATTAGTATAATGATGTAAACAAGGGCGTTGCTTAAGATTATTTATAGTAGAGAAAATTAAATGTATAAACGTCCAGTCTATTTTTTATTATATTTTAAATGCAAGTTAAATCAATTCCTAAATAATGTATACGAATAAGTGCAATCCTTATTACAAGTGAATCGATTGCATTAAAATAAATCCATAGGTAATATTATTAGTTCACATACATTTTTTTGTTGAAAAATTCATTAATTACTTTTAAAGAGTCACTATTATTTTTGTGTTAAATTAACGTCATTTTACTAATAAATGTGATTAAAGTTAATTAAAAGACTGAGCATATTGATACATTTTTTAAAACGATAAAGTTAAGTTGAAGTTACGTTATGTATAATTTTCAACTTAGATAATTTAAAAATAATTAGAATGAAATAAGCTCAGTAAGGACACAATAGAAGATATTTGACGATGATTAAACTTACTATCAAAAAAAATAGTTTGTATTCAAAATTGTAGATAGTGTTTAAATTTTAAAAGGAACTGTTGGATTATTCTAAAAACAACATAAACTTCAATTTCCTTAATTATATTCTCATTACTAGTTTTATGATTTATAAGTATAATACATGAATAAATAATATTAATAAATAATATTTGACAGTGATTAAAATTACTTTCATAAGAAACGCTTCGATGCAAATCTTTAGATAGTGTTTAATTCTAAGAAATTGGTGGATAATTACAGAAGCAACATCAACAACTATTTCCTTAATTATATCCTAATTAGTAGTTCTTTGATTTAAAAGTATATGTAATAAAAACTAATTATTTTTATTAAATTTAGTATAAAATGGATACGCAATGATTTAATATTGTAATTTATATGAACAAATAATAAAAAATGATAAAGTAGTATATTTTGATACTTCTACGACAAACACATGTACAAATTAAAGGGCCTCATGCAACACTTTCAAAAAAAAATTTTGTTACTTATGAATAATTACACTGGATTACAAGGAACTTCAATTAGAATCAAAAATATACATTTATCTTGATATTATTACTAATTAATAAAAAGTGAGTATTTACATATAAAAATAATTTTAAAAAAATCAGTGCAAAATTAATTTTTAATCTATCTTTTAGGTCCATTTAAGTTGATTTTTGTGAAATATTATAGTAAAAAAAATTGAATTAGTTACAATAACTTTTAGATCAAATTGCAAGTTTGAAATTGACATCATTAAATAGAAAAATTAATGATAATTAAAAAATTATATTGTTAAGATTAATATGCAGTCAGGGAATTTTATAATTACTATTTTTTTTTTCGTAATAGATCACTTAAATAAAATCATTGTAATCATTTTTAAGTAACATTTGTAATTTAAAAAGATTCTGCAATTCAAATATTCAGAATTTAATTAAATTAATAGATTTACCTAAAAAACCAATCAAAAAAAGTAATTAGGGAAATACTCAATTGAGCGTATTATAAAATTTGATTATAATTGTAAAAATCCATTGTTATATTAATGTGAAATTAAAAATCATTTTTTTTAGAAATTATTTATATAGCTACATGTTACCAAAAAATGATATATTGTATAGTGGTAGTACCACTCACAAATAGAGCTAAGAAATTAAAAAATACAAAGTAAAATTATTTAATTTTGTAGTTAAAACCTATTATTATATCTAACCTAATTCGTCATTAAATACTTTGAAAATATTAGAAATAAATAATTTTAAGTGTCTGTATGGATAAATCTGGTTAATCAACTTTTTATTTGATATAGGAGATTTTTTCAATTTTTGAGGATAATATCTTTAACTAGATACTATTTGTGATCATTTGACGTAGCGTTAAAAAAAAATTGGCCAGGTGAGAACTGAGAAACTAAATAACAAAAAAAAAAAACATAGTAAAATCATTTTATTATGAATAAGAAATTTTATCTTACAAGGGGAGTCTACAGTGATGGGTTCCTTGATATTCATTGAAGTCATTTAATCTAAATTAGATAAAAATCAAATGAGTAAAAAAAATTTTTCTAACTCAAAAAAAATTAAGAGAAAAATGCAAAAGACCAGGCAACCGTAAGTTGCATTCGTTTGGTAGATAAAAATACAATCTAAGCTAGTTCAAATTTCAAATTTATTTTTCTTGACTTTAAAGAAACAAAAAAATTGGAATAAATTTTAATTTATATGATATGTATGGTATTTTAAAATAAAATAAAATACAAAACGGAGAATTTTAACACAAAAATAGCAAATTTTTGAAATGGTAACCATTTTTACCATGAAGACAAAGTAAAGCTCGAAATTTATTTTTTTACTTTAAAGTATATTACATAAGTTTTAATTTTAAATATGTATAAATAACAGTGTCAATATTTTTGGATCACTTTTAAAAGTTAAGTTGAAAAAGTTAATTTTTTGTGAAAAGTTATCATTTTGAATCCCTCCCTGTAAGAAGGTAAATGGTAAAAAAAACTATACTAAATGATAGGTAAATACCTAATATGTTTATTAAAAAAATATTGTGTCTTTTCATATAGTTTTCAAAAAGATATGTTTTAAGTAAATAAAATTGGAAAAAATTTCGAAAAATACCGATTTTTAAATTTATAATTTTTTGGAGATTTAACTCCTTTATATGAACGAAGGTAATTTTTTCAATTTTTGAGGGTAATGTCTTCGACTAGATACGATTTGTGATCTTTTGACGTATCATTAAAAGAAATCGGTTCGGTGAGAGCTGAGAAAAAGTGAAAATAGACACAAAAAAAAATCATAGTAAAACCAATACCTTCTCAGCTTCGCATCGAAGCAAAAAGTAAAAAATATATATAATTCTTGTAGTTTAAAGTATAGCACTAGTTTTAATAAATAATTATAATCGGTTTGAATAAATTATAAAAGACAAAATAAATTCGTTAAATTAAAAAAATATCACATTATTAGTGGGGTTTTCTGGTTTTTCTTGTTATGTAATCGTCTAAACTAAAAATAAACAACACCACAAGCTTCTAGTAAAATTTCAATACAATTTGATAGGTTATACTAAAGTAAAATTTTAATCCAATTTTTTGTAATATGTTAACAATAATCCGTGTGAAATATTGATTCGAAATATCATATCTAAACTGA